TAGGTCCAATGCCAAGCCCACCTGGGGCGGAGTGGATGTCACGACGGACTGCGGGCTGAATATGCCCGGCGTTAAGCGGACGGAGCGCCGGCATGCAAGGAGTGCTACCGTAGCACGGTAGCTCCCATGAAGTGGATGGAAGTCGAGGAAAATGGGAGGAGGTTGGGGTCGAAACGCTGCCTGGGGCTGCTGCTCTGCGGAGTTAGTCCAGTATGCCTGACGGCGATCGACGCGGTGATACGGCGAGGTTGCGTATGGAAACTTTGAGCTGACGGAGCGGCACAGGCAGAGTTGTCGGCACGGCATATTCACGTGCGAAACGTGCCGCTTCACATGCTGAACGATCCATGTAGTATGACATGAGTTGCCCGACAATGTAAGACATTGACGAGGAGCAGCACTAGCAAGCCACGAGAGATAGCAACGGTTCTGCCTTAGCTCCCCCCAGATGTAAGACATGTACACACTTGCGCCACGCTTCGAGATGAATCTTGACTTGCTTTGGGACATAAAGTAGTTAGCGTCACACACATGGTCGCCAATATACCCCGTATTGTGATACTGTGAAGTCAACGCGGAAAGTCGGCGAGTTCACCGTCCATCGCATCGTCCAGTGATGAGCGCTGAATGGGGCACAAATATTCATAGGTAAGACAGTATGACGTCGGGCAGGTCCAGACATGGCGGAGGCAGGCTGCAACTCTGAGGCATTTCCGCCCCAGGTCCATACCTTGATCGCGATATGCCTATTTAACCTTCAGCCGTCTGTGTCCCTAAATTAGCTGCATGGAATCAAGCGAAGGGTGCATCTAGTCCGCTGCGGCCCGCCGTAGGGCAAAAGGGAAAACGCGGAAACATAAAAAGCTGTGATTGAGTGTATGTACGACTATGAGCATGTGAGCTGTGGGAGATGTTACGAGCAGCAGCGGGTGGCTGCTTATTAACACCCACTTCGGGAAGCTTGTGTACGTAAAGTAGCTGTGTGTATGTGTGTATGGCCGCGTGTGGGTGTGAGTGGGTGTCTCGTATGAGTGCCTCTCCAAGCCACTGCAGCTTGTTTCTTAGAGGCCTCTTTGCAGTGGAGGGAGATGAGAGGGAGGATTCAATAATGACCATTTGACTTACTCCTCCATCAGGACGGCTCAGCGCTAAATGCTACCGGCTCAATGCATGTCTCTGAAATGACGATATTTTCTTGCGCACTCGCCATCGGCATTCGTTATCATGTGAAAATCAGCTCGGCGGTGCCTATCCACGATGGAACGGAGACTTGGACGGAGACTCTGCTGATGAGTCCTGTTTGCCTCTCACTCGAGAAAAAAAAACACCTTGCGCGACCAAGGCTAAGAATCAACAACACGGCTTTTAGCAGCGGAGGCAAAACAGTGGCACCTCCTTTCTGTACCACACCCTCCATTCGACCAGGACCAATCCGTTGTGTTGTTGTTAGCTTCTGATGGAAAACGCCCTACCCGTTTTGTGCGACGGTGCCTTGCATGTTGTCGATTTTCGTTCCGCGTCCGGTCACGATCGAACAGATGTCGTCCACATCCGCGACTTTTGCACGAGCTCGAGGGGTGAGGTGAACAGGCCAAAATCTCGGTGGGCCCTTGTTTCTGCCAATCCGTTTGGAGATGGGGCGCGAGCTTGCGGCGGCGGCGGCGGCCAACTAACCCCGCCAACCTAGTGCAGCTTCCCGTACCTGCCTGTGCCGATAAGCACAGTTTCAGGAAAGAATAGAAGCAACCGTAACAACCAGTCCCCCAACAATGGAAGGAACGATCTGCTGGGCTGGGGAGATTCCAATGTTGTGACAAAAATAAGGATAAGGGGAACTGGGCCGCAGCGACCCAATCTCGATGGCCCACGAGACACCCCTCTCGGGGATTTGTGGCAACGCGGTCGCGATCATCTGGCCCGCCGTTGGGTGTCCACTGCTCAGTCCAAGAAAAAACTGAGACATTGACTCGCTGAGCCAGCACCGTTCATCTCACACCACTGGTGGGCCGTCCACGGCCGTCCAATCTGGTGTGTAGCGCCGCCATCCGATACATCACTGACCCCCCGGTTTTGCAAGCGCCAACTGGCTGTCGGCCATCCCACACCAACCAATCACCTGCATTGCTTCCTTGCAACCTCACCTTGGGCCAGTCCGGCGCCAGTCCGGCGCCAGTCAAAGTCAGTCAGCACTCCTCAGCCGGGCCTGCGACTTACTGCTAGCCTGCTGCAGAGATGGCCCGCTACAAATGGGCAAATGGGGGTGGTGGTGTAATAGACGCAAGGCCAGAAAAAAAGTAAAAGTAAATGAGACGTAAGGCAATAAAGATGACATCCTTCGCCGTCCACCGCGCCGCAAGGTTTGAATCGATCTCGCTCTTTTAGCTTCGGCTCCGTCATGTGTCTTTCTCTACTCCGGATCGCTGGTCGTCTTCCTCGTCGTTCGTTTTCTGTTATTGGTTTTGTGCTTGACGGTATGCGGGGATCATTGTCACTATCAGCATGAGGACCCTGAGAAGCATGTTAGCGGAGACTTACCACTCGTGGCTGCGTTCGATCTCTACATGTTGCGGGCTTGACGAGAAGCCTCGTCGGAGTAAGTCGCGTGCCCATTACTGCCGTCCACTTTTACTAATACTACATATACTAGACATCGAGAAGCCTATTGTCGTTCTCCGGGATCAACCTGCAGTTATTCAGCCTCCGACTGCAGTGCCATCGTCGACATGGCCCAGCGAAGGGAGGCCGTTTTATTATGACGAGACGGCCTATGAGCAGAGGAATTACGATGAGCGGCAGGAGAGAGGGCGATCGAGCAGGCAAAGGTCAACCAGCCGGGGGAGCTTCTCTGCGAGAAGACGCTGGTTGCCGTCCTCATCGTCGTCGTCGCGCAGGCCGCAGATCTCTGGTCCCTCCAACTTCCGCCATCTCCATTCCGAGTCGTTTCAGTTTCCCGCCGCCGCCGAAGAAGAACCGCAACCGCCTCAGCAGACCCGTCAGCGGCCGTCTTCGTTTCGACCACTCGAGTTGAGCATTCTCATGCCCGAGAACCAACTGTCGCCATTGCACCTTCCGCTTTTGGAACAGGGCGATGAAGGCTATGTCACGCCGCCGCCTCAGGCACATATTGCCACTCCCCCCAACCGCTACAACACAACATGGGACGACAGCAGCACGGCAACGCCGCCGAGCCTGACTCACGAGAGGAGCTTCTCTTTCATGTCATTCCACCGTCCGAGACGGCCAGGGCAACACCAAACTTCGCCCGGCAGTGAGGGATCGCCCTTTTCGAATGAACCACCGCCGAGGATACCGGCCAGGTCAAGAGCGCGGGCCGCCACTACTGCCACGACCGCCACAACAGCCACCATTGAGCCATTAGTTGAGCGCATCGCCAGCGCCATGATCGAGAAGGAGATATTGCAGGCCGAAATCGACTCGGTCATTGAGCGTCAGAGTCTCTACATCAGCAGTCGCCCGTCCACTGCTTATGGACTACAAGGTGCGTCAGCTTACCATGAGCCTCTTCCTTTCACCTTTCCATTTTTAGCACCCGCATATTCCTTCGCATGTTATCGAGTATCAGCTGACAGTGGCACAGACCTGGAACCGATGCCTTCCATTCCGGCACTACCTGCAGCGGCACCATCCTTCGCCGAACGTCTCAGCACCGACAGAGACAGCAGCCGACCTCGCACCGCGCCCGGGCCTACTACTTCGTCGTCGTCATCACACCATCAGTCGTCACAAGAGAGGACGCTTGCCTTGGCAGCTGCTGCCTTCAACTCCCACCCGCCTAATATCACCGCCTACTCCAATAACACCTCCAAATCCTCATCACCCTCATATAGCCGGGTGCGTGTAGAAGGCGATTCACCCACCGGGGAGTTTAGGGATTACTATAACGATTCATATGATAGACCGCTAGCGCCACCACTTCCGCTAATCCTCCGCCCACCCTTGAGGAAGAAGAAGTCGTTTTCGCGGGTATCCAACTGGCTGTTCCCGGGTGGCAGAGACTCTACTAATGGAGAGCATTCGAGGTCAATGAGCACTGATTCAGTGACCAACTTGCCCAAACCCATCAGAGGCAGGGAAGGATTTTATCAGTGCGTCGCGCCTCCTGAGGGACTACCCCGGACTAGCGTGGACACTGTGTCATCGGTATCGTCATGGGAGACGACGGAAGACAATGAGGAAGGGGATGACGAAAAGGAGAGTCAGACGGTTCCGACGAACAATACCCCGACCTGGTCCCCGAGCAGCAGCAAGATGGCGAGCCCGGTGATTCAGAACACGCCGAAACATACACCTACTATTGAACGAACGGCTACGTTTGGGAGAGGTCATCATCTAGCCGAGCCTAGGCGGGAAGAGGCGCACCGGCCGCAGAGCGTGGGTGTTGCCTTTTAATTCTGTCGGGAACATGTATTATTCATTCGTTTTGTGTGCACGTACTTTATGCGTTATGTCCGTTGTCATTGATACCTTGTAAGCTATCAAAAAAAGCTAGACAAATGGGAAGAACGGAGGGTCGGGTGGATGTCTGATTTGTTGTCGAGCTGGAAGCTTGGCTGGCGGCGGTATCTGGTTATGTTAATTGGGAGGAACATTGTGTTTTTTGTCGTTATGATACCATTTACAGACTACAGTGGGAATTTTTTAAAATGGGAGATGCTTGCAGAGTCGAGCTCTATAGATACATCAAGTTTCCTGTCCTTGCTTCATTCAACTCGAAAAGTGCATAGTTGCATGAGGAGTCTGGTGAAGTGTTCAATTGGAACCAGAGATGCGAATACAGCCCTTCTCAAACATGTAGGAATGCATCATCAAGGCAAAACAAAGCGGCCATAGCAATGAGAGAAAGACGTGCTTTGATAATTTGTGTCTTGCACTCACTTCAGTCAGAGAAAACCAAAACCAAAACCAAAAGAAAAAGAAAAAGAAAAAGAAAAAGAAAAAGAAAAAGGCAAAAAATTAACCACACGAGTGGCTTGACCAACTGGACGCACCGCGGATCGAACGCGGGACCGTCTGTATGAGCATTTTTCATCCCGAAGTTCAAATACTTCGGGTGTTTGCAAAACAGAAATCATACCACTAGACCATGCGCCCGTAAGCTGTTACTGTCCCCTGTGTTTATCGTGGATTATGTCCACAGGACCAACTGTGTATGTAAGCTGCGTTAGCGCTTATTTTTCAGCTGCTTGCGGCTCGGAGCATCAAAAAACTCCAGGACACGGTAGTTCAACCGTTCATGTTAGTGGCCCGCTACCTCCATCTTTTCTGTTCGTTCCAGTTGGGCTTGTTTTTTTGGAGACCTCAGACTTGTGTCCCGCATTTTTACCAAGACAGGGGTGATGGTCAGTGCGGGACACCTTATTCTGAGAACTAGCATCGTGTTCTTATCCATAGTCTGTACGGATACGTAGTACACCACGTACCTAAGAATTTGGAGATACGTGTAAAGTACGTCCCAGGTCCGTCGGGTCTGCAAAACTGGCAGCACAAAAACGGTTGTAATTTTCTGTCAAAACTTCACAACCACCTGACCTCTCCCTAATACACACACATTCACCAATTCACACACAACAGGTATTCGCCCAAAATGCAAGGCGGACCGATGCCTGGTGGCCCCGGTGGCATGCCCACCCCGGAACAGATCGCGGCGATGAAGCGCCAGCTCGAGCATGACGCCGAGAAGGCGGGGATGACGGTGCCGCAGTTTATCGAGCACATCAAGCAGCAGCAGATGCGGATGCAGCAGCAGATGATGGCCATGAAACAGCAGCAGCAACAGCAACAGGGTGGACAACAACCGCAGGGACAACAACAGGGAGGACAGCAGCAGCAGCAGACAGCACCAGGTCAACCGCAACCCATCGTCCCCGGCCCTCCCAACCCGGTAGCTCTCGCGCTCGCGACGTTCCTGCGCAGCCAGCCGCTCAAACCGAGAACGGTGATTCTGAATGGTGAACGCAAGGATATGTTCAAAGGTAAATGTCACAACCACACTTCGGGCCAGGTTTTTGTGAGGCTGAGCTGACAAGTGTGTGTAAAATTAGTGAAACGAGCACTCCGAGCATTGCAGTCTCCGGCATACGAAAAAGCACGCAAGAAGAACCCCGCCCTGCCCGAGATCACCGACCTCGCGTCGCTCGAGAATACATTCAAGCTTCTGCCCATGTCGATGCTGGCTCTGCGGGTGGTCAAGGCGGATCCGCACGAGGGACACAATCACGGTCCGGGTGTCGAGCACGGCAAGAAAAAGGGCAAGCGTGTCAAGGGGCAGTGGACGGTCAAGATTGAACCCCAGCAGGAGGCCAAGGAGGAGATGTACTACGTCTGGCTGTGGGAAGGGTCGCAGATCATGCGCAAGGTGTATGCCGCGCTCGCGCTGCTGGTCATCTTCGCGGTGGTGCTGTACCCCCTCTGGCCGGTCAAGCTGAGACAGGGCGTGTACTACCTGTCGTGGGCCTTCCTCGTGTTCCTGGGGCTGTTCTTCGCCATGGCGATATTCCGGGTTATCCTGTTCTGCATCACGTATTTCGTGACGCCCCCGGGGCTGTGGCTGTTCCCGAACCTCTGGGAGGATGTTTCCGTGGTGGAGAGTTTCAAGCCCGTTTGGGCGTGGCATGACGTACGTATACAAACCTTGCCGAAAAAAAAAAAAGGGGGGGGGAGTAAGAAGAAGAAGAAGAAGAAGGGGCGTGAACTGACAGATGTGATAGACCGACCCGAAGAAGAAGAAAAAGAACAGCAAGTCTACCCCGGGCACATCCGCCGCCGGAGCGACGTTCTCCGCTACTACCGGACAACCCGCCCCCGCGACGGCTACGACCACGGCGACGGCTACGCAGGTGGTTACTGGCCCGGGTGGTGGCGCTGGTCCGCAGCAGCGCAATTATATAAGCCCGAGGGTTGAGGAGCTGGGGGATGATGAGGAGTAGTCGGTAAGAAAATGGCGTCTGGCGTAGTGTGCTTTTCTTTTATCTTCTTGTGAATGCTAGGGTGGAAAGTTACCTTACTATAGTTGACCATATGGTCCACAGAGCAAAAAAAAACCCAACTGTATCATATTTTTTTGCCTTGTGTAGCATTGCATCATACAGGGGATAACGTAGGTTTGAGAAAGGGATACTAAAAAGGGAGATTTCTAACTGAATCTTAACGTTGTGACTTATCTTGGGCATCTCATGTTCGTCGTATCTTTCTTTTCCAGTCTGAATTAGTGAGTTGAGTTTTGGACCGCATGAGTTAACTCAGGGGTGCACACACACACACACACACACACTATATACGTAGGTGTGTATCTTTCATATCTTCTCTATCATTGTTCATTATCTATCGTCCCCCCGTTCTCATAACCTCATTAACCTTATATATATGTTGATCATTTATCATTACTCATTTCACACACAAACCTTCCGACCCCTGACCCCTTTTATAATACCACACCGCGTCTTTTGCCTTGGCACAGTTGGTCACGCTGCCGCCGTTGATGCTCGCATTCACCGGCAGCAGCCCTTGCGCGCGTTGCGGCGCCCCATACACATGGTGGTAGTACCACACCTCTGTCAGCCTCGTATAGCCGTTGTCGAGCGACCCCTCGCCCTCTGCCGTGGCATTGTATCTCGGTCCGCTGCAGCCGATGTACGGGACTGCCCCGAACCCGGTGTTGAGCGCTGACTGGATGTCGCTGAACGTGTACGCGGTGGTGTTGCTCGGGCGGATGTTCCCCGCCGAAAGCCACGCCCATGTAGGCAGGCGCTGGAAGTAGGTGACGGCTGTCTCGAAGAAATCGACCACCTCCTCGTGCTCGCGGTACTGCGGGCCGTAGCATTCGACGTCAAATGTGCTGAAGCAGGTGGCGTGTTTGGAGAACTCGTGGCCCCAGAAGTCGGAGTTTGGTTGGCCTTGGGCGATCCAGAATCTACACAGACCGTTAGAACGAGCGAAGCGAGGGTGGGGGGGGGGCCGGGGGGGGGGGAATTAAAGAAAAAAACAAAAAGGGGGGGGGAGGAAAAGGGGTGGGCTATTATTACTTATTCATCCAAGCAAGCAGATCGTATTTCCCAAAGGGGGCCAGGAACGTCCCTATCCCGGGGCCGGTGTACTTCGGTACTGGAACGCCATCTGGTTTTCCGTTGGTAGTGTTGGGGGATGGTAACGGGTCGTATTGCCTCTTTAGGTCGCAGTATTGTGTATACGATCCTACATGCACACACACATCAGCACCCGATACAGATGGAAAAGGCTGGTGGGGAGAGGGGGAGAGGGATAGGGGGAAGGGAGAGGGGGGGTACCGTTGCAGAAATCCGGCCATAACCCGTGCAGCGTCCACGAATTCTTGGGGAGCAGCTGCCCGGAGGACTCGTACCCGGTGTAGGTATCCCAGAATTGGGTTGACAACTTCCCACACACGCACACACAGTCAGTAACGGGAACGGAGAGGGTGTATGGAGGAGGGGGGTTTTGCTTACGACAAGTCCGCCATACGTCTCTACGCAGCACGAGTCGGTCAGGCTGTGCTGGGCGCCAGCTGAGCATGACAGTTCCGGTTTAACTAACAGTCTGTTAGTCACACGCATTCAAATTGTGGAATTGGGGGTTTTTTTTTTCTTGGAAAGCTTAAGCTAAGATGGACAAAAAATCCCAGCGAAGCCAAGATGGTAAGATAGAACTTACCAAGCGCGCAGGTGTGGTTAAGGTTGCTCTCCCCCGGGTAGAGACCTGCCATGGCGGTCCCTACAAAGACAGCTGTAACCGGCAGCAATGTATTCCTCATTTTGAAACACAATTATCCAACGCACGCAGAAACAGTTACAAACGGAACGCCAGAAGCTCCCCTCTACTTCGTTCATTTTACTTTATATATATCTCCCGTCCATGGTACGTCAACAACCTGCAGGATCTTCCATGCTTCGGGCTGGTAGGTAGTATTCTCTAGCTAGCTGAAGCTCCCCCCGCCTGCTGCATTGCGACTTCATTGAAATAAAACCGATCCATTGGAACCGAATGAGGAAGCTGCAAAGACACACAGAGAGACCCATAACAAAGTTGTAGACCCAGCAAATACGTAGACAGTGCAAATCCGCGAATGGAAGTCGGGGTATGTACATACAAGCACTGCAAGCAATACAAGATGGGGAAAGCCTTCCCATTTTCTTGGCTTTGCGGTCGATTTACCCAACGTCCACGGGTTATGTAGACCACCTGGGCAGTCTCTTACACCTCATTCGTCAATCGCTTTTTCGGATCAAAAGCTTGCAAACTGCGTGCGTGCGCCACCAACAATTGTCGCCGCACACACAACAACAACAACAACACGAGAAAAGAGATGGGCGAGCCAGACGATGGACCGCGTGCCTTGTTGCCCTGCCTTGCCCCGGACCGCGCCGGAGCTGCTGCTGCTGCAATGGTGCGCTTTTCCAGGAACTCACGCGGGCTGCGGGAAAATAGATTGACAGGAGCACGTGTCTGACCTGTTCGCTCACCGAATGTAACCATATGCCATGTGTGCAGCATGTGGCAGGCAGTCCCTGTCCGTCGGGTTCAATTGTGGATGGATGGGCGATAACGAGGCTCACATGAGTGGCTAAGAAGGAATCTGGCCCACTGATGAGACTGACATGTGTCCGTCCCGGTCGACTGTTGAACGAACCGCGCGACAAAAAGGTACATCGGCCGTACAAATCCAGAATCTATTGCAATCGCGCAAAACGAGCTGTAAGAGAAACAAAGCACGCGAGTTGCCCTCCGCTATCGTATTCATAATCCCGCAAACTGACTGACGCGGAGGAGGAGGTGGCCCTCCAGAAAAAAGCGTGGGCCTATATGCCATCTATGAGTGTCTCTCTCGTAATATACCAAACGCCCTGTACCGTAACCAAAAAGAGGGACAGAAAATAGAGAGAAAACAGAACAATACAACAACCCGGTTCAGTAGTAACGGACAAACCAATCCCGTGCGAGTTGTAGGAGCTCTGCCACGGTGTTCATCTCTTGACCATCCCCCAAGACGATCGTGAAATGGTGAAGACGACACCGCCCGGTTTTGACAAGCCCAACCCATGTATCCTATGTCTGGGGAAGGAGTTCTTTGTAGAAAAATG